AGTTATTACACTCAACTTAATGTCTCTTTTCATTTGTACAATGAAAATAACAGGCACACTCTTTTCTCTATGCATAAACACTCACCCGCACATGCGCGGCATAAACACGCACGCGCACACGCGCATTATAAACGCGCACGTGCGCTGCTTTTCCTTTCATCAGAACGTGAAAAACATGTGAACTCATGCTTCAACTCGGTGGCAATACACCACAAGGGAATGCTAACTCACGAAGCTAACCGCTAACTGTCTGTACTTTGCAGCACTCACCGGGAAAACTGGTAAGGTCCCAGGGTCGTTCCTCCGTGGTTCTCCAGATGCATAAAATCACAATGTCCGCCAATCTTCTCAAACACGAGGGAAAAAGGCTGTGCCCTTGAAGAAAGGGATAGGAAACCCCGTACCGTAGTGGGCGTGTCCATGAACATAAGCAGTGCGCATGCCCATGAGTTTACAGTTGAGGGAACTCAAAAAATCTTGTATAGGTGATTTAAAACTCCTTGTTAAACCAACTTCTGAGAATTTGAGTTGGGCAAACGTGTATTTATTTGTTAGATGTCAAATTTATATTTCTGAGTCGGATTACAATACAATTGTGTGTTAGAACAACAATTGCCATTTACTTTTTTAACAGTGCAGCAAGTTTTCAAACCTAGGGGAAAAAAAAAAAAAGCCTTCCCTTCACCGTTCAATGAAGGCGAGCCACAACAGCGGTGTGGTAATGATTGTGTACAACATTATCCCTCCCCCCCCGGACGGAGCCTTTGTATCCACCGCAAGCAGAGCTTCTCCCACCACAGAGCGAGGGAGGGGAGAGAAAACAAGCGCCCCTTTCCGACGCTAACTCAATAATGACTTCCCACGGGGGAAAGATAATACAGAGCTGTGTTTGAAGTGGCTCTACTGCAGGAGGCCCCTCTGCTCCAGCCTCGCTGCTGGATGCCCCCACATGGGTTTTATAGAGCCAGGGCCCATCACAGGATACCTATAGGCCCCTTCGGTCCTCGTCCTCATCAGCAAAGGTCACCATCGTATCTCTGTGTTCCCCTTTAAATCTCTGAAAACACAACAGGGTGGTTAGAGCAGTTAGCAGTGCGCTTGTGCTCTGTTGCAAGTACTCGGTTCGATCGCCACAGCCTCAATTCTGGGTTTCTGAAAAAAACCTTTAGCCCCACACTGCTCCCTAGGCGCCGCACAATGGCAGCCTACGGCTCCCCAAGGGGATGGATTTAATGCGGAGAATGAATTTTCCCGTTGTGGGACAATAAAGGGATTTACATTTACATTTCTTATCTGAGATCATTCAGGTCAGCGATATCATAAAATCTTCAATTTGTTGCTGTTAGCATTTTGGAGAATTTTACCTGCTGTCATTTATACTCCATCCAAATGTCTAAATATTACATTGGCATGAAAAATGGCAATCTGATCAGATTCTGATTGTTGCATTGCTCTCCCAGAAAAAAATAAAATAAAAAATCTGCATTTGTTTGTGGGGCTAAGCCTGCAGAGATCATGTGACAGAGCAGAGGCTGCAGAAGGACATCAGGTCTCCCTGTTACACTGTGGCTGTTTGTTAGAAGGACATCACACAACCTAAACTACTGTTTTCCCAGCTCTGCATTAAATAAAAGATAGTTAAGTATTTAAACTCTCATAGAGGTCATTTAAATGTCTAAACACAACCCACTACCACATTTGTCTGTTTAATTTACCAAAACCTGAGCTTATTTATAACACGTTAAAAAAATAACAATAGAAACTACTCAAATACTTGTTCGATTAACTGATTAATAAATCAGATGGCAAAAGGCACTTAATAGGAGACTTTAACTTAATTTTAAAAAGCTTAAGCAATCCTACTTGAACAGTTCTGGATGGACAACAAAGAGAATTTTCCATCCTAAATAGAAGCTGTATATAAATCTATTGTACAGGTTTGGCTTCGGTACTGCACTGAGTTTGTTGGATTTTTACTATAAACCTTAGAGTCTTGTCTACCAGTTTCATTCAATTACCAAACAATTTGACAATTATTACATTAATTAATCCAATTGTTTCAGTCCTACTAGAATCTAATTATATGTGGAAAAAAAGCAACTTGTAAACAGCCAGATTGTCTTTTCTGCCTTTAGAATCCTCTGCAACATCTTCTATAAAGTGTGTGCTAGAACAAAGAGTGTTCTGGCCCCCGGCCTCCATCTTCTGTTTGCTTTCTTCTCCTTTCTCACTGTTCAAGAAAGGAAAAGGAATGTGTGTTGAAAAGAAACAAAGATGCAGAGGAAGAATGAGATCTGTTTACACGGTTCCCCTTTAGGTCTTAAGTGAATGTGCATGCTGCTTCCACAAACACCATTCACCAGAACAGGGGCCTCATTAGGACGGCCCTGTAATGAGGGGTGCTCAGCAGTGGGTTAATTGGGCCAAAGAGGGCAAGAGGTGTAGAGTGTGTGTGCATATGAATGGTAGAGGGAGAGTAGCCTGCACACACACACACACACTCCAGCTCGGCTCTCGCACACTTTCTCCAACCTTGAATGGACAGAGGCTGAATGGCGGTGACCCCCAGAGGTCATCCCTTGTAATCACTGCATGCTCTAACCGCAACGGGGGAGGAATGCAACCACTTTAGGTTTTTGGCAGCTCGACGGACTTTCCCAGCGTAAATAATGTGCAAGCGGGGGTCCTCCACACAATGTGATGCCATTACAGAGACGGGGCCCTTGTAGGAGGACGTTTATCAGAAAAACATCTCAAACTGTTAAGCTGCAGTGTTGGGACAGGAAGGTTGTTTAATGTACTCCCTAATGGGGGGGGGGGGATTCAGCCTTTCCTATTCTCTGGGGGGCTTCAGATGTAGAGCTGCAGCCTGGGGTCTCTCTCTGGGCTTTACTGCAGTCTTTTTCAACTTTTCTAGCTTTTATCTTGCAGAATCAATTCAGACAAAGTATGCTTGATCTGGAAACTGGTTTTATCCTCTGAGATTTTTCATAGTTTCCACCAAAAGCTTCCTTTGGATTCTGTGTGACAGATCAACAGAATTACATCGTTGGGAAGCGGATAGAAAAGGATTGTGTTGTTAAATAGTTTTTCTCAATACAAACCTTGAAAGTGGGTTGGTGTATATTTATTCACATCACCAGAATGAATGCATTGCTTTATTTCCACAACATAATGCTGCCACCACCGTGTTTTACTCTTAAGATGTTGTTAAAGGGGGTTTGTGGTGCCATTATCTTTTCTTGTGTGATCTTCCACATTCTCTGTCTCGAATTAACTGAAAGGTCCAGAGAAATCAGAGGGTTTAAGTTGGAGAGACTAATACATTGGCCAGTTGATATTTTTGGCTAATGTTGGCATTCCTTGCTTGTATCGGTTCAGAGGTTCACTGATTGATTAGTGCAATCAGCAGCCATACCTTGAGCTCAGGCATTGCTGATCCCTTCATTTGATATCCATGTTTCTTTAACTTGTTAAAAAAATATTTTAACAGAGATTTTCTGTAACATTTGTTATGATTGTGTCAGTTTTATTATGGCCTAAAGCATCAACACACATCAGGGATCAGTTAAACTAATTAATAATCAACATCTGCCTTACATAAACCTGCATCTTTCGCTCTCTAGTTAGTTGATCATAATATGACAGCCGTGTTCCAGCTCCAGGGATGCATATTCACCAGGTGAGTGCTGCGAGTTTTAAACAACCTATGATTGGTTCCTCAGTTTCAGCTGCAAGCTCATAAACCACATTCATTATATTTGATTGGCTTAAGCCACTATTATGAAAGGAACTCTAGAGTTTTGCTTGTAGCTTTAAGTTCTGTTCTGGTCTCATCTGATCAGTGCAGCTTCTTCCACGTACTGCTGTGGTTTCCCTTAAATGAGTTGGAGACATTTCTAATAACACTTTTAATGCATTTATTTTTATAAAAAGCTTTATATACCACTCAGATTTATAAAATCCCTTACTAATAGTTGCCAAGCCTGCAGGTTCTGGATCTCTGCAGCTTTTACAGATCTGAGATCCAGATTCTGCTCTTTTTCACCTGTATCGGAGTAAAGGTGGGTGAAAACATTATTAACTTACTCAAATTAAGCGAAAATACACTTATTTTGATAATGTTTTACCTATTTTTTTTAATTTAGCCAATATAAAATACACATGAATACAATTTCAGATGATTTCTGGACACTCCAAGATCCTCCGGATCTGATGTTGAGTAATAAAAACAACCTGCTGTCCAATTGGAGCTTCCATATCTATTGCTTTAAGATATACTTTCCACTTCTATATAATCTACTCCTTTGTAATCATTTGTATATAGTGTAGCAAAACATATCATTAGAGTTCAGTTCAATTCGTGTGAATCCCATTGCGAGACGTATCACCTCTGCATACTTTAGTTTGAAAACAATTTGTCTCTTTCAAGGTGTGAAGTGATGCCATCAGCTTCCATGAGTGCTGCCTGATTAGTTTCTTCTCTCTTTCTATTTGTAGCCCTGAACATCTGTTTTAATCTCCCTGTACGCAGAGGTACATGTGTGTATGTGTGTTCCAAAGCGAGGGGGGTGGGGGGCGCCTCCGCTCTGTGTAATCCCTCACAGTCTCTTATCACCTTTCGCAGGGTGAGCGGCAGTTGGAGGAAGAAAAGATCCCGAGCCGCTTGTATCAGCAGAGCTCATCTTCTTACATTATTAAACATCCATATTTCCATATTTCATTGAGCCCCCGTCGCCTTTTCAAATCACAGGCTACTTAGCATTCATACAAGAATGGGATTTTCCTAATGGGTGTTAGATTTGTAGATGGTTATCCTGTGGGTATGTCTTTAGTGCGTGGAGCCAGTCGATAAGTCCGCCGCCGTGCTTCTCTTTGAGAGCCGCAGCGCTGATCAGTTTGTCGTTTGATGTCTCTTTTCTTCCTTCTTTGTCGCCGAAAAGCAGCAAAAAATACTTCTCTGCTTTTTAATAACTTCCCCTTTTCCTTATTAACCACAGGTCCAAGAAAGTGATGGAGATGGCCACCATGCTGCAACACGCCTCTCTTCAGAAGGAAGATTTGAAGCTGGAGCTTGATGATCTGGAGAGTGCAGCTAGAATGGTGGCGGAGGAACAGCGGCAAGACTCCGGTAGCAGCAGCAGCAGCAGCAGCTCTTCCAGTGACGACACCAGTAGCAGCTCTTCCAGTGAGAGTGAGGAGTCTGAAGCTGAAGGACAAGGCTGCTCAGAATCCAAGCAGGGAGGAGCAGAGACATGCAAAGACAACCCCTCCCAGCCCCAGCCTACCTCCTCTAGCTCTCCCATCCCCCATACATCCTCTAGTTCACTCTCCCCATCGGAAAACAGGAAGGCGGACGCCTCTCGCTCAGCCTCACAGGGCTGCAGACAGCTGATCCAGGAGCTGGGGGATCAGATGACAGAGGAACTGAGGATCTCTGCAGACTCCAGCTCCGAAGCAGCGGAGGCAGAGGAGCCATCTGGCAGGGGTGGGAGCGGTGGGACGTTGTTAGAGCCGACTACTCGCAGAAACCCTCTGCTCATCGTTCAGACGCACCAGGATCAAGACTTCTTTAGTTAGACATAAAGTGATAAGGAACTTTCAATCTTTGTGATGAGTTTTGTGCCTTTGCAGACACCAATATTTTTTTTAATACATTTGTATTTTGGGCAAGTTTTACTAATCATACTTATGAATTATTGCAATAAACCAACACTGTAACTAAGCATGTACGTAAAACTGTCTGTGCTTATAGAGATGCAACCTCTGCTTATTACTAATCCGTTTTTGGAAAGCTTTGTCTTACTGGTTCCAATTTTCAACACGTTTAGCCTGATACAATGTGATCCCTGACCCTATTCTGATAAAGGAAGGAAAAACCTTTAAAAAAAACAGGACAACTGACAGAAGAAGGAGTTTGGTTTATTTTCCCTCTTGTTTTTGGATAAATGGATAATAAATGTTTTTTCTTATAATGAATAAAAAAATATTGAGCAATGTTAGCTGTTAAACTCCCTGAGGTGGGATGTTCTTATTTGTCCTGTCATGCAAAGTATTGTGGGATTTCCTATAGCTCCTTATAGGAGCCATGATGGGGTCCCTATGCTAAAGGACCTATCTATTGGTGTGTTTTCATCAGCTTTTTCTAATGCGCATTTTGAAATATCTCATGAGAACAACTTCAAGGAGATGATGGAAAAAAAACCTTCAATTCACAAAAAAGTTTTTATGTTCGCTTGGGGTGGTTTCAGCTTTTTTTTTAATCAGTTCTGATGTTGCAAACTTTTACTCACATGACTGATCAGCTGTTTCTGTTGTTGGCGTCTTGCTGGATCTTCCCTTTTATGCGTGCAGACAAGGCTACAACATCACTATTACTAACTGAAATGTTAATGTAATAACTTCCCAGATAGCACCACATACATTAAAACTTTCATTACTGATCAGTGGTCAGCGCTAGATTGCAGCCTCTAGTTACAGTTTACTACAGGATGGCAATATGCTTTGAGATATTTGTTTATTCACTTCAAACCAAATAGAAACAGCAAATTTACATTTCTTTTTAGAATTTCGCTCAAAATTAGAATTTTTGTTGAATGGAAACCTGGCTAATAGCAAGCCTTTAAGTTCTTTTTCTGTCCTACCTTATTGCCAGCACTATTCAGTTAGCACCTACCATGGTATTCACTGACACTCTTCTGCTTTTGATGGGTTATATTCACCTCAAGCCTCTGTGTTTTCTAGAAAATTTGGCACCAATTATTTCCAAATCCAACATGTTCAATGACAATAAAAGATTTGGGTTTTTTGAAGCAAAATAAAACAACTTTGCTGTTCTCCGTTCCACCTTTCTGTTACCTGCTTAAAGTCTTGCTCTCTTATAACGTCCATGAACCCTTGACAAATAATAGAAATTAGTTTCACATTAAATAATTTCTTTGTTGGTGGTTTGATATTGGAACTTTGACTCTATCTTCTGTAGTGACACACACTGAAGAGTGTTTTGGTCAGCCTCATCGTTGACACCTATATAAGGTTCACAGAGCAGAGACAAAGACCTGCTCATCTCTCAACCTGATTCATATTTTTTATGCCCATCCACCACCTCATGGATATCCCTGTTTTAGTATAACATGCAAGCTGCATCTCCAGGTTAAGGCCAATTTATGTTTGACGCATGGGCTCTGCAACCGTCAAATCTGTCTCTGTGCAAGACCACGCCCCTTGCGCAGAGGTTCTGCAACTGTCGTCACACACCTCAAAGAAAATCCTGACTACGCGTCGGACGGTTGCAAACCCAAGCAGACCTCAAGCGGAAGTGCGCAGAAAGAAAGCAGCTGTGATTGGTCTTTGGTATGCCTTTCCGGCTGCCTGTATGGGTGGCCTTCTCGATTCGGTGCCGGGGCGCGCCATTTTTAAAAACCGAGGAGCAACTAAAATGGACAACTACGACGAAAGGTTAATCGAGGAGGTTCATAAGAACGAACACATGTACGATGCCTCAGACAAATTATATAAAGATGCCAAGGTCTCTGTCAACTTCTGGAGGGAAATCAGCCAGATCCTTGAGCGGGATCCAAAGGATTGTTTACAAAGGTGGGATAGACTGAGAGATAAATACGTGAAGTTCTCATGAGTTCTCGAATAGGCTCCCCCTTGCACTTTGGCGGGAAACTGCTGTGCATCCCTAGAAATTCAAGACCGACGGTGCAGAAGCATACCAGCAAAACTGGTTCGCGACCAGACCCAAGCGACATTTGATGTGTGCGGTTGCAGAAGTCTAATCTGCCCTTTATATTTGATTAAACAACAGAAGCTGCTGCAGATGGTTTGAACACATTCTGCATTGCTTATTCATCTGTGCCACTCAACACTCCCAGCATGCAGCAGACTGAGCCACTTTAAAGGAGCCATTCTTTACCTAATAAATAGCAGGAAAAGCACTAAACCTTTCTTTAAGCCCTGGCATTGATTGAAGCGGGGAAGACTCTGTCTGCACTAAACAGGGGAGCGGAGCACGCCAGAGTGATTGATTAATCTGGTGCGAACGGAGAAGCGCAGCCGACACAGCTCAATATCATTGGCCGTGTCTAACAGGCGAGAGAAAACAAACAAGGAAACACATGTCAGGCAGATAGATGAGGGCTGCGAGAGAGGCGTTTGTTTGAGAGATAAGAGCACCCTGGGGTGGAGACAGCCGCCAGATAGGATAGCAGAGGGCCAGCAGAGACACACTGACCAGCTCGGGGGGGGTTCCGTCTGATTTTATATATTCCCTTGTTTTCAGAGAAAACCTAAAGACATCGTTGACCAAAATTAGCAGAGGTCATTTCAGATCTTGTCATCCTAATAGGTTAAAATTGGCTGAGGGAGTGAGTGGTGCTCCTAAGTATCCTTTCCTCCCTCCGGCTTTTCCAGTATACCATCCAGGCTGAATGAAGGCAGTCGAAAGGTGATGATGAGTACTTGTTTCTGCTGCGTGGCTTTCCAGAGATGGATGCCATTTTTAAGCACTTCCCAAGAAGAGGCAGCCTCCACCCACCACATCCTTGGGGTACGGCGCCATCATCACTGTGACTGAGATGGGTTATGTTATCGATGCAGGCCAATTTAAAACCCCTTTGTTCCGGGGACATGAGTCCTGGGACTATGCGCCCCCACAGGCAGTGGCTCACTCTCCCTGCTGGGGTTTCACATTGATTTAATGACAAGAGCCTCCGTTGTCGTTTTTCATCGTCCAAGTGGCTTCCATACTCCTCTGCTGCCGCCTGGGAGACTAACTCGCTGTCTGTGGCTGGTTTAGCAGAATCAGAGGCTTCCTTTTACAATTAATTCCCTTCGCTGACAGACATTTATAAAGAGGCTCCAGTTTAATGAACAGCGCTGATAGATTATACAAGACAATATTTGGCTAGAATTTGATTAATCAACCTCTCACTGATGTAGCAAGTGTCCCCTATTGACCCCAGAGGGTCTAGGAGACTGTTTCAGACTAATATGGGTCTTTTATTTTTTTACGAGCCCATTTATTTCAGCAGATGTTTAACAGTAATAAATGAGAGTCTATTAAGGCTGAAGCTGTAGAATTAGACATCAGAATGTGACATGGGCACAATTTCTCCTTCACATTTTTTGTGACTTAAGTCTAAGGGAAGCATAAAGTCCATTAATCAGCATGCACATTTCAAGATTTTTAGATGCTCTTAAAAAACATACAGAGCCAAACAAATCATTGTTTAGAATCCCCCAAATGTGGATCAGTCTTTATTACTGTTGCAGTCATATTTTCTTAGATGTGAAGTTATGTAATAAAAACAAAAAAAGTATTAAGTAATAAATATTCCTTTTATAGCTAATGCAAAATTAATGAAAAAGCTTACATTTAATTTGAATACCAGTATATCAAATGTTTCTAGTTGAGTTGGTTAAACTGTTAGGACCCGTTCCAGCACTTATAAAGCAGAGGTTTCCAAACTACATCCCGGGGGCTATTTTAGGGTTAGACCTTTAAATTGGTAGACATGTATCCCAGCAGCACAGGGGTTTGTTGCAGAACATTTTAAAGGCATGATATTCGCTGTTAGCCTTGTAAACTAGCCCCACCCACCAGCGGCCAAAATAATTTTTGCCTGCGAGTGGTCTGGCTTCGATCAATGCCCCAGGCCCTAGAACTGGTGGACCAATCACAATGCAGAGATGTGTTTTTCTAATTTCTGGATGCAAAGCGGGCGGGATTTTGAGGGTGTGATGACAAAGCTGCGCGACACTGGAGAAAGCACAACAAGGAAGATGGCAACAACTACTGAACAGTTCTCGTTTGACTCAGATTTGGAATCAGTTTTGGAAGGATTAGACTTGGGGTTTTCGTTGAAACGTGAGCAGGAAGAGGCTCTACGCTCATTCATTTTTAAGAAGGACGTTTCCGCCGTTTGTTTACACTCCCCCACTAGCTTTCTGTCACACTTCCTACGTCACAGTCAGTTGCGCTCGTTGGTCAGAGCGTTGGCCAATAGGTACAGATAGCGGTTTGAAAAACAACGGGTTGTTCTCATCAACAATCTTCCAATGTCTCATTCATCGGGGCCAAATTACACGTTTAATCTCAAATTTAGTCTGGTTTATCAGGCTAATTCGCTGAACTTTCTTTTTTTTCTTAAAGAGGCATTACGGAGTTATATATTGATGCTGCCACCTGTGGCCAAAACACAGAACTGCAGCAACTTTTCTGCTCATTTATGTTGCTCGCACTCGTACTTGACAAGGTTTGATTTTTTACTTTTTTCACCTGGAGTTACCATTGGTGTCTGAGGTTACCTGGGTTCCGTCGCTTCTGAGTGTCCACAAAATCCATCTTCAATATAACTCTGCAATTGGAAAGTGGTGGTCTAGGGGTTAGAGCATTGCACCCCACTCCCACAGACTGCCACTCTGTGTCCCTGACCAAGACTCTTAAGCCCAATCTGTTCCCCGGGCACCGCACAGTGGCAGCCTTCTGCGCTTCAAAATAGTGAAAAGTTTATGGAGACCTCTAATTGATAATGGTAGACTTTGTGTGATAGCAAAAAAAAATATTTTGACAGTTACAACCAAAATTTGCCTGTGTCTTTAGTTGCACATCCTCATTTGGTAGCAAGCTGGTTGAACTACTCACCCTCCTAATATTGCAAAGTCACCAGTTTTAAAAGTTGCCAGAAAAAAACCTAAACATCTTGGAATTTTTACTGGCACTAACTATATCTGCGTGCTTCTTTCAAAGTCAACTGAGTTGAGTTTTCATAGAAAAGCTCCTCAGATAGAAAATAACTTTAAACCCACCTTGTTCCATCATCGTCCCGGGTCCTGATTCAAATCTTATATGTGGTAAGTATGAGATTATAAAACAGTAGAATGAT